CTTTCCATTCAAGTTGCTCTTGCAACCTATCAATCTGGTGCGTTGGGGAGGAGTAGAGAAGATGGTTAAAGTTCCTAGGTAAGAGAGGGTTGACATGAGGGGTATTGGGAGAGGTTTGATGTGTATGATGTGGAGGTGAGGTAGTGATGCAGCGTGTGTCATTTGAAAGTATCCTTATAGGATTAATGGTAGATTCAAGGAAGTGAATGTGAGGCTGACCAGAGAATGAGGATGGGATTGGTGGGTGATAGATTTATGTAAGGAAGGAAGTAGTAGGGGGTGGGGGGGTTTAAGTAAGGTTTTTTGGTTAATCTGTTTGGGAGGTTTCTGCTGATATGGGATAGGAGCTGTTCTGTGTTTGTTGTTGTTAAGTGGGATGTTATTTGGTGAGGTAGCTACATTATAGATGGGTTGTTTCAGTGGTTTGAAGGGGGGTTTGAGGTGATTGGCAATGGGGTTGGCCGTTGATGGAGGTTTCTGGTGGATTGAAGCTTTTGGTTTGTAGAGAGGCTTCTGTGGTGGCATAGTTCTTCTTCATATGATCAACAAAGGATAATATACACTTCACTCTCTCTCTTTCTCTCTCTCTCTATATATATAGACACACACATATATATGGATATATGTATATTGATTTGGATGCATTGTTTATAGATGAAGCCAGTGAAACCACGGGTTAGGCAGCCACTGGACCTCTCTGCAGTGAGGAGGTCCAATCGTGTTGCAGACAAGCCAACACCTAATTACAAGGATGTGAGCTCTCTCCTTATATCTCTCTGTCTCTATGTTTTTGTGCCTTTAATTTTTGTTGCATAATAAAATTCCTATCTTGGTTAAATTGCACAGAGCTAGTTATAATTTATTAACACTTTGTTTGGGAATTCTAGAGAGAAGAAGAAAATATGGGGATTATCCCTTAAGGAAGAGAATGTGATGATCCCTCTTCTCTTTTGGATTGAAATCAAGACGGTTTAATTTTCCTTTCTACTTAACTTTCCTTTCCCTGTGTGTGTGTGAGTCAATTTAAATTACAGTACTTTACATAGCTGCACATTGGTATTGTTTCATTAGTGTATTACTTTCGTGATCATTTACTGCAACAATCACCCAAAAGAGTTGTTGATTTGTTTTTTCCCCCACAGGATCAAGTTACGAGTTATTTAGGGTGTGCTTGATTTAATACAGTTCTCCAGAACTCATAAAACTATTTTTTAAAAATTATAAATCACAGTTATCTGAAAACAGCCTCTTTTTATTTTATTTTATTTATCCGGTCAGTCATTTTGTGAAAACTTTCAACCATGCAGATTTTTTTACAGTTTTTTTACTTTTTAGTTATCAGAAAATAGAAAACTGAAATAATTAGGCCATATTGCAATTGTTCTTTGCGATGAAATTAAATCTGATTGTGTCCTCCTTACAGATTAGAACTTCCTTTAGATATAAAGCTACAGATAAATCTAATGAGTTGGGGTTTTCTATATTATTATCTAATTAATTTATGTTTGAAATTAGACTATGCGTAATCATTTTATTCAAGAATGGAGGTGCTTCGATTTTGATTTGTATGCCATTGATGTTTGTCTGAAGTTAGCTTATCTATAAATTAATATTAACATTTTACTATATCTTTATTCGAGTACAATGCACCTCTCAACTGAGTGTGGCTTCAATTAAAATGTTTCCTCACCATAAATCATTGACCCTCAAATCTCTTGAATCTTGGCAGGTTCCAGTTGAACCTCTGGGGAGGCCTAGAAGGTGTATATAACTCAATATTTCCAATTAAAATGCAGTCTTGGATGTTCTGTTGATTTCTCATCTTGTACCTTTTACAATATGATTTTCATACATAGGATTTATGGCTATAAGCGGAGGGATTTGTCTAATCGAGTATATGCCTCAGATGAAGATAGGGAGTATGCTCGAGATAGAGCAGAAGAACTGCTATCAGGTTTGGAACCTGATTTCCCAAGCTTTGTAAAGCCAATGCTTCAATCCCATATGACTGGTGGGTTTTGGCTGGTAAGTTTTACAATAGATGATGGTAATAGGTAATATACTTTATTGGTAATTTCTAGTACCTTCTTGTGAACTGATCATGCATTGAGAAAAATAAGAACTTAAAGAGACACTTAAGCTGTTCTTTCCGCTTTTAGTTAGTCGGATTATTGTTGCCAAGGATAAAATAGTCATCTCGGTAATGTTGAAAATTGTATGCATTTGTGATTATTTGTTGCACTATTTTGCTTAGGGTCTTCCTCAACAGTTCTGCAAGAGACATCTTCCAAAGCGTGATGAAATGATCACTTTGTTGGATGAGTGAGGATGGAAATGAAAGCGCAACGAAATACCTTTCTCTGAAAACAGGACTTAGTGGTGGGTGGAGAGGGTTTGCTATGGATCATCAATTAGTTGATGGGGATGCATTGGTTTTCCAACTAATTCGGCCTAACAAATTTAAGGTGATCGTTTGGACTAACTCTATGCATGCTTGGTCCACTTTTGTTCCGTTGAAGCTTTTGTTGATGTGATTTCAAGTAATTCAAAAATATTTTGTTTTTAGTTGGACATATCAAAAGAATTTGATATTGTTCAAATTATAGACACTAGTTCACTACTGTGATGATTCAAGTTAAACTCAACTTGCTCCCTTCATGCCAACGTATTCGTGTTTCGTGTGGCCGCGCTACGTAGTTTGTAACACAAAGCCACTTGGCCAGATGCAAAAATAAGGAAACTACGCGCGCCTACTATTTTTTAATTCTCAGGTCTTTGTTTAACAATTCATTTGAAGACACGTATATTTTTATTTTTTGAAATATTGTAACATGACTAAAATATATTAGTAGATATAGGTAAGATGCAAATTGGGTGGGCCAACTGCAACCCAACCCGAAATTAGCCCAAATTTTCATCTATTTGGATAAACTATTTTTACACTTGCGATTGAATTTAGTTTAAAATTTTCCAATTCAAATTTAATTAGAATAAATTAAAATCCTAATTTAATTTTTTGTATATATATAATATTAAAATTATAATACTTTTTATTTATATTTCAATTTCTGTGAAGTCTGTGTACATAATTGTGTGTGTGTGGTGTGTGATTTAAATGAAAAAGAAAAAGAGAAAAGAAATATAAAATAAAGTGGGACCCACATCACTTTTTAAGTGATTTGTGAGACCAAAATTGGTCTCTGCTGCTCTCTCTCTCTCCCGACTGCTCTCGGCTTTTCCTTTTTTTTTTTTTTTTTTCTTTTCACTTCAACTTCCGTTGTTGATTGTTCCTTCATCTTTTGTCGGATTGAGGTGCCGTTTGAGGCAAAACGAAGCTTGTAGCGAGCTCTACGCATCCATACTAACAATTTCCAGATTTGAGTCTTCCTTGGAGCTCGAATTTGGAGGACCTATTCTAGGGATTTCGGCTTGGATTGTGAGGTAGGGACATCTTAAGCCATGGAATCTTGCTCTATAATGAATCATGCTCCTCTATGTGTGTTATAGCATGTTTAATTGTTGTTAATTTTGATTAAAATGATTTAATTGACAACATGCTAGTTATGTAAATGTGTATAACATGGTTGAATGAAAAGTATGTCTATGTGATGGTTGTTTACATTTTTTTTTAAGATTACTAACATGCTATAATGATGCCATGAGAACATGCTTATTTATTATTGTGCTAAGTTCCCATTTGTCATTATATTGAGATCATGACATGAGCCTATATCTCATTGGATTGCATGAAAAAGGGAAGTGGTTGTCTTGAAATGAAAATGGGGATTTGGGAATGAATGTTTTGGAAAAAAAATTGGTTTTGACAAACCCGGTCGCTGCGGGGTTACCAACGAGCCAGAGGTTAATGTAGCCTAGGGAGGACTAGGGAGAGTACCCTAGCGTGGTTGAGCTATTCGGGCCCCTCGACGGCGCCACGGGGTCACCAAGGGCCTAGGGACGGTAGTCAATCCTTCTCTCGTCGCGGCGGGGTTACCAAAGGGGGTTACATTAACTTTGAACGTGATGGTTTTGAGAATGAAAACGGGGAGTGACTTTAGCATGCATTGCATCTCACTCCATTTGCATTTGTGTGTGATTGAATTTGACTTGTACTTGTAATTATTTTTCCCCTTCAATGCATGTCCCCAATCTCCCATTGGCCTATGCTTTATTTGGATTCACTAGAACACAAGAATTGTGTCTTAAGTGTCACCTGCTGAGCTATATGCTCACCCCTATATCTATATATATTTTTTTCAGGTCTTGGAAAGGAATTGGTGGATGACAACCCACCTCAAGCTTGAACGGCGTTAGAAATCCACTTTTGTATCTTTGTATATTCCCCATTATTTTGTAAAACACTAGAAGTGCAAAGATGTATAATTATTTTGTAGAACTTTGTCATGTAATATAACTAAAGTATTGATGATGTCTTGGATGGGGATTTGATAGTATGCAACTTGTTGATGAATGGATGGATAATCCTAGTTTGAAGCATTGTCTAGATTAGTTGGTTGTATCATTATCTTTTGTTACCGTGAATTCGGAATTTGAGCCATGACAGGTTAAAAATGCAATTAAACATATTGTGATAGGCCTATTTTTAGGGAAGGTCATGTTTAAAAAGTATTAGTTTTGAGTCGTTACAATTTTCTTTTCTTAAATTTTAATTTACTGTATGTTAATAATTTGGAGAATTAATTTTCTATTAATTTATTTATAATTTATTTTTATAATTTTCATTATTTATTTTTTATTTTTAAATTGTGCTTAGAAATAATTTATTACAAAACTAATTAAAAATTACTTTAATATTTTATAATATAGAGATTGACTATGATCATATGATAACTCAAATTCATCTGATATTTTAATACAGGAATATTTAGTCCGAGTTGTGAAATTGAATTTATAATATTAAAAACAGGAATATTAGAGGTGAAAGTAAAAAAATTATATTAACCCGATATATCTTTAAGCCGCCTCAGTTAGAGTCCTAGAGATAGCACAACACTGTGTCTGTTTCCTACTTGATTCCCAACTCATAAATTCGTTTCGTCTATATAAACAAGAGTCCATGGGAACGCGATTGCATCTGTTGGGTCCGTGAGAGAGAAAGATGGTGATTGTGAAGGAAGAAGCTTACAGCAAAAGAGTGCGGGTGTTCCGGTGGAACGAAAAGCTTCGTAAGAACCGAATCTCCGAGTCCCAAGGTCTGTTCGTCTACTTCATCACCAGCAAATTCACTACTCTCAACCCTAATAATGGTCATGCAGATATCGACGTCGAAGAGAAGAGGTTGAAGAGAGCAATCCGATTCGATCTCACGGGGTTGCTCTCTCACGATTCGATCAAGTCACTGCCTCACACCGTTCTCGCCGCCACCAAACAGTTCTTACCGGAGACCATTGTACCTTTAGGCGACCAAATCTCAGACAATCTTCTAAAAAGTTTCAATTTTTGCCCCAATAATTTTATTGGTACCAATTTGCCCAAAATTGTGATTGTGACTGAGATTTATCGAATCCGAATCATGGATCACACTGACATCGATCTCAATATTTCGCCTACGCCGATGTTACCTCCTATTCCCCCCCAATGGGGATACGACTCCGACTCCGACTCCGACCCTTTTCTCCCTAAATGGGGATACGACTCCGATGACGAGTTATCGATTTCAGATCACCAAAACCAAATAGATTACGAGACGGAGGAAGCAGAGGATGACCCGAGTGATAGTTACAGCGCAGACGTGGAGTTCTATTTGGCCATTATAAGAGAATTTTTGGGCGAAAAGGGGTATATTCCGCTGAGAGTGGTTGCGATTAACGAACCAAGAGGGCTTGTTGAAGTTGAGCCCGTGAGGTTGTTCCAGGCTGAGGAGGAGAAGTTTAGTGGCGGCGGCAATAAATGCTTGATCTGTCTCGATGAATTAACGACGGCAGCGGTGATCACTAGAATGTCTTGCTCCCATGTTTATCATACCAGATGCATTTTTGAGTGGTTGTGGAGTAAGAATACGTGCCCAACTTGTCGAAAGCCATGGCCTTTATTGTAATTCCTCTGTTAACTATTTGGATTGTGGTATAAAATTTTGTTCTTCATGTACTCCCGTATATATAGATTATTGTTTTTCATATACTCCAGTATATATAGATTATTGTTTTTGTATATGTTTGATTCTTATCTATGATTATTAATATTAGGATAAAGTGCCAAAAAAATCCCACGGATAAAGATAATTTTGTCCTTTAATAAAAAAAACTCAAAAATATATATTAAAAACAAATGAAACAGAGAACCATGTTGTATGGTGGTGGTCAGTGGTAGAGAAGTGCGCATGAACGCCTTGAGATGGGCTCCCAACTACTTCAGCTAGTCGTTCGTGATCCTTCAGATTCAATTACCGCCGTCCATCACTTTCGGACTCAAACCCGGTGCTTAATTTTAACGACAGTTGATTTGGAGGTTCATTGCCGCGATTCAGGCGTTTCTAAAACGCGTCATGGAGGCCATCATAGCTCACAGCTTTGCAAATTTACTCTTACAAAGAATGTCAAACTTTACTCTCTATATCTCTTTAATGGATATGAAATGTGTGTGAGTATATATACATTATACTTAATAGATGACCACGGGATATGTTAAGTTGGAATCTTTTGTTCAATGTTTTGATTTTCGGATTTTTGATGGAGAATTGATTGTTTTTCATGTTCGGCCATATATAAAACTCTTGTTGGGTCATGCACCAAATTGCAAAGTCGAGTCCCCAAGTCATATGACGAGCATTGCCTTTTTACCCAATAGATTTCTTGGGATGCTTGACCATGAAGGTTTGGGTATTTTGGTTTTGAACTAAAACCTTGGTCCGAGCAATGTTTGTTTTAGTATATTCTAAGTTTTGGGTAAGCAATATGCATATGTATTTATATAGGCAGGAGACAGAGAAAGATAGAGACAGAATCGGGTTGGTTTAGTCAATCAGATCGAGCAAGGAAGAAGATAGAGTTGGGGATTAAGGGACATAGATATAAGACATGTTTGGTTGGGTATTGCATCTAATGGTTATAAGAAGGGTAGTAAGGTCTTTTAGGTTTTATAAGGGCTCTTTTACCTCTCTAAATGGAGGTGAGGTTTCGAGTTTTCAAATGAGCAAAGTAAATATATGAGTAGTGTATGTGAGTTTTTTTGCCAATAATAAAAAAAAAAAAATAAATAAAGCAACCATTCATTGTGACTTTGGATAGTATTCTTGGCGTGTTAAAAAGTATTCCGTATATCCTAGCTATATCCAAAAATTAAAAATTAATTTAAAAAATTCGGATACTTTTCTAGAGTATCGGACATGTGTTCGGGCATATTGAGACTGGAGACGTATATGATACCGTCACGAGGCCTTCGAAGAAGTATTTGTGTTTCCTAAGTCATAAGTTTTGGTAGTGTATTAACACTTTTATTTCGAGAAGATAACATTTATTATTTGTAATTTGCAACGAGAATAAAAATAATACTGTACATATATATAATAAGTATAACACAAAAATTTACGAATCAGGTCTGTTTGTAATAACTTTTATGAAAATAAAATTTGAAGTATAACACAAAATTTTATGGATAATGTCCATCCATTTGTTATTACATACGCGTTTAATTTAATTGAAGTAATTTCTTTTAGGATGTTATAATATCTGAATCACTTAAATATGGTCACACCATTATAGTATATCGTTTAATATGGTCACACCACTACAGTAAAAACACACTGTATTATTAAAAAATATTAACTATTTCAAAACACGAATTTCATACCATCAAATTTTTTTTAGGGACTTCACATTGTCAACAGAGATTATCTGGTTGATCTTAGGAGGTAAGTGCAAAAAATACCACTCTATTTTCAGAAAGTTACAAATAACACCCATACTATTCAAAATTGACCTCTCTAATTTCAAAAAGTTGCAAATAAGGGCTTTTTGTCAGAGGGGTAGGTAAAAATATGAAAATACCCCCCAATATTCTTTATTCAATAATAATAAAAAAAAAATTGAAGAAGATGAAATTACCCAAATAGACATTGACCTAAACTACGTCGTTTTGGGTGACGTGGGTAATGAAATCTTATTTCTCTAGGCTTTAATTTTTTGTTTTGGGTGAATTTCTCTCTCTTCTCTTAACTCACCGGTGTTTATGGTGAAGGAGGGTTTTCATTCAAGCCGCCTTCGTCCCTCGGCCTCGCCGTTCTCCTCATCATCCTCTTTGCCGTTGACTGCCGCATCATCAATCTCAAATCAAACCGCTTGTAAGCATTCTTACCAATTATATATGAAAGCCCTAATATCCAATCTCTCCTCACACCACCTCCTACTATGCCGCACTCTTACCACCGAAGCCGTCAAGATTGCAAAATCGCCCAATCAATTGAAATGGGGCTACAGGAAACCAGAAATCGATCACCCCTCTAGGTCAGTGGTTGCCTAATATCGCCGTCAACACTTATGTCGTCCTCGCTGGACTCGTCTGCAACGGATCCTCCGTTTGGAACGGGCTGTCCTTGGGGGCGATCTCAACAAGATTATATTCAGTTTCTCAATTTTTTTGTTATTCACGCCGTCCAGATGAGGTGTGTTATTCACACCGTTTGGTTTGCTCAATTTTTTGCTCGAATGAAGTTTTAATGGCGAATGAGTTGGACTCAGCCAAGTTGGGGTTCGGGTTGGTCTGTAACTTATGTTTAATGGTGGAGGTGGTTGTGGGGCAGCATTGCGGTGGTGAGTGGTGGAGTTATGTTTATACTTTAATTAATTGTGCATTATTTCACATATATTGACAATGAAATTTACCGATCCTTCCAACTAGTTGTCAGCTTCATTTTCTCAGCTGTTTGATGGGAAGAAGTGAATCAGGCACTAAGGCCTGCCCTTCTACTGCAGTTCTGAAGTTCAAACCTCTAAGAAATTAAAATGGATATGCATATACACACAAGTAGTCTTATGATATTTACAACTGATATTGTTGGTCGATCTCATCGATCTCACGGGCGGCCGGTTGTTTAGGTGAATTAATTAATTAATTGGGTTAAAAAAAAAATTCTTAGCATTTACTGAAAAAACAAAAAATATGCTTAGTAAACAAATTAACACTAGAGGAAAACCAATTCCATCAACACACACACACACACAGACATATATCTATATATATTTATATTTATTACTTTTTTGGGTTAATGCTGCTAAATTGCAAGTATATATTTTTTTGAACCCAAGGGAAAACTGCCGTCGTTTCATTCTAGCTCAAATTCAAATTGTTACATAAGTGTGTACTGGTGAGAGATCGACGATGGGAGTCCCCTGACATCATTTAACATATATCACTTAAAAATTAAAATTAAACTCATTTAATTCTTAAAATGAAGTAATAAATTAATAATATATATAAGGAATTCATATATAAATAGAGATAGAATCTTTAGAGAGAGAATAAATAAAGAATAAAAATAAGAAAATAGCAAAATTAATTATTTAGAGAGAGAGTCGTCAGAGAGGAGAGAATAACAAAATTTCAAAATTTTGTTAATTATTTATAAAAAAACCCCTGTACTTTCAAAAGTGTGCAAATATTTCCTTTGGGTAGTGCAAAAGGGTATTTTTGGTATTAAAGCCCAACTTTTGCTCACATGCACGGCACATGGCAAATTTGTTGGTCAGAAACCCTTATTTGCAATTTTTTAAAATTAGAGGGGTCAATTTTGAACAGCAGGGTGTTATTTGCGACTTTCTAAATATAGAGGGGTGTTTTTTGCGCTTATCCTGCTGAAGATATTATCGTTTAGGATGACGTGTCACACAGCTGGAATGTTACTTACACGTGTTAAAGCAAAAGCCAAAGTGGGACCTCGTAATGGCCCCAACAACACCGCTTCTTACTCTGTCGCCTCTCTCTCTCCCTCTCTCTAACCTTCTTGCCTTAAGGCTTCAACCAACCGTCCAGGGGTTCTCTGCTAAATTTAGGGACTTCACATTGTCTGAAGTCTGAACAAAGATGGAAGAGAATTTCCGGCCAGATCTCGCCGCCGTCGAGAGTTTCAGAAATGAGTTGACTCGGTCGAACTCCAACTCGTCCGCTCTGACTGTTGAGGAGGATTCCAAACTTGTATTGCATCACAATGAGAATGCAAGACCGGTAATTTTTTTATTTTGTTTGGTTTGATCTGTTTGTTTTGTTTTCTTTTTTATATCTATATATTTGTCTTCTTGAAGATATTTTCTGATATTTATGCATTGAATAAAGTTGATTGGAGTGGTTGGGAATTGGGATCATATGTGTTACTTGCACTAGGATTTAGAAAGTTTTAATTAGGTGTGAGATCATTCAGTTATGTTTTAAGAAACATTTTTTTTTGTATGGGTTGTTTGATTTTCTTAAAATTTTGCATTATTTTAAACAGAATTTTATGAGAAGCAAACATAATGAATTTTAGTTGCTATTGCTTTGATTATACCATCTTTGTTGGCTAGATTTTTTGTTCAATGGGTGAGTGATTTTGCTTCCATTGGGGCATACAAATCTGAAGAGCTCTTACCTTGCTACCTCTCTCTATATACGTTTGTGTGTGTGTGTGTGTGTGTTTATCTAGTAAAGCATAAGACTGAGAATGGAACATGTTGGAATACATAGATAACTAGTCACGAATGCTAATTTATAGTCAGATCAATTAGTGTCATTGCTAAAGACAAATGACCATCAGACTCTTATTATAGTTGCTTTCGAGATCTTTGAATCATTGTTTCACTTTACTACCTCTCAATTTTTCTTCTCAATAGATTGATTTGGTATTCAAATATTGGTTTTTTTTTTTGGTTTTTCCCTGGGTGGATGAATCAAAGATTAGCAACTTTACTTGCGAAGACTGTTGGTCTTGAAATGAGAGACAGGAAAACGTTAAACAAAGTAAGATGCAGGGTCTTACAGGATTCTTTCCCAGTACGAAATATCTGCCAATATGCAAGTTTGTAATGACTTTTCTTGTTTAATTGAAATAGAGACGACAAACCCTTTAGGTGGTTGGAATCTCCACTTTCTTGACTTGAGGTATGAGGAGTGGTTTAAGCTACTTATCCAAAAATAAAAAGGGGATGAGCTGAATAAAATTCAAAGGCAAGGGGGCGTAAAAGGATATGACAGGCAAACATGGGGTATCGAACATGCTTAGTTTTCAATATTTGGGGTGGCAGAGTTATGGGAAATCTTCTAGAGGGCAATCAAATAATCAGATTCTGTATTGGTCCTCCGAGTAGCATAAGAACGGAGCTTTCACAGGTGGAAAAGAACAAGTAAAAACTATTTTGAATGTCCTCCAATAATTTTCCGAGGTTACACTTCCAACACATTGTTTAATCTCTTATTGCATTTGGTCATCTCCCTAGTTCAATTTTGTTTTCCTGCTTGCTAGCTACATAGAAATGTTCCATTATCGCTAACTAATTCTAATGCTTACTTCACCTATAAAGTATGTAGATGTGATGATGCGTGAAAAACAAGTCTATTTCCTGGTTTGGACTTGCCTGGATCACCTATTACCTAGCTCAAAAGAAGTGCTTTTTGCTCATACACTCTCCTTTTGTTGATAACTGGTGGGTATGCTTGGAGATCTTCCTGAGTTGTTGTTGAGTTTTATTCTTGTAAAATGACCTTCTTATCTAGTAATATACTCCCTCTGTCCTAGTTTATTAGTCCCTTTTTGGTAATCCATTTTTCAATGGAACATGCATTGCCCCTTTTTAAAATTCTCAAGTTAGCGATTGAAGTTTAAAAAAATATATTTATTGATTACAAGTTCGAATTTCTTTTTGAAAACTTAGATGGTATTAAGTGATTTCTTATATGTTTCAAAATTGGATAACTACAATGTTGCTTCATGTAATTTGCTTATTCATTGGTATACAGTGGAGGCAGTTATACTCTATCTAAAGGTGGAACTGTTCAGCCACTAAATCTATTGGCGAGATGGGTTCAAGATATCTTGTGACAGTACATAATGTTGGATTGGGCTATTAAGAAATAATATTCGACATTCAAGTGTAGTTGAAATAAATATGGTGGCATGCATTAATGAAATTACACGAAATATACGTAAGAAATAAATGCATTTGATCGAAGTTAGAAGTGGTACCCCTAATAAAGATAGGGCAAGGAAAACTCATTTGTAATGATTTTCTAACCAGTGGTAGCAACCAGTGTACTGTTATGGATTTGATTAAAGTTGAAGTTGAAAAAAGGATAAGAGGAAGGTAAAAAGATTTTTTTTTTTTTGTTGTGGCTGCAAGAAAGCCATAATTACCTTGACATTTAGTCGTGTTCATGTCTTTGTCGTGGTATGGGCAGATTTTGTACATCTATAGAGGAGATTGTTGATTTCTTGGCCTCTGTGGGTCCTTAGGATCCTTCTTTTGGCTTTGGCTTCAGCCTCTGTGTATTCTAGGGATGTGTTGCCCTTTTGAACTCTTTCTATACATTATTACTTATCAAAAAAATATATATATATATGTATGGAAGAATCCTCTGTTGTCAATTCTTTATAGCAAAGAATCATCCCGTGGTTAGATCTCCTTGATGTGTTCATATGTAAGGGTTGCAAAGAGTTTGATCTTGAACAGGTGGTTGGGGTTTTTTTTCACATCTTCGAGATTGAAGAAGGTTTGAATGAAGTTTCGATCAAGGGGTAGTAAAGTCTGATCCCGAACAGGCAATTGAAGGTTTTCAAACGAGAATGGCACTTGTGTGACATGCTTGTTGTTCTTTATCTTTATAAACTTCGAAGTGTTGAAAGAGTCAAAGATTTGGCAGAGCTTTAACAGTCTTTTTATTTCTCTGTCTGTTTCTGTGTGCCTCCCACTCGATTGTGTTGAGCAGTCTTGTATCTATAGGCAAAATGGTGGGGTGTTTAATTTGGAAAACCCACCACTAATTGAATTTACAGAAATAAGATACATTTGTCTCTCTTTCTTTGGAAATAATTTTGAATTTAAAAATTGTCCATAAAAAAAGCCTAAACCTTGAGATTTTGGCATGTGCCCCCCATGGGTCCCACACTCGTGGAGTTTGACTTGATAAAGGGGCTTTACTTCTTTGACCAATCAAACGGTGATAAAACCATTTCAAGATTTTATTGTCTTTGACCAGATTGAAAAATTATTCGGGACTACATATCAAGGCTAGGACAGTGGTGCTTATTCTGACCATGATGTTGATTTTTATTGGGTTCTTGTCGTTGCAAGGGATCATTTCTTAGATGCGCATACTGGTGGATTGTTTCTTGAAGCATTTCCATTTGAACACAAAAATGACCATATTAATTGTAGTATTTGGTTTACTTATAAATAAATAAATAATAAAAAAATTGTAGCATTTGGGTTGAGCAGGTGTGACCAAAAGGTTATGTGGCAATGATAGTTTACATTTACCAATTCAAGGATGGAAGATCATGTTGTCTCCAAAAAAGAACATGAGGTAGTTGACGAAGATTGTTGAACATTTATGCTTCATTCGGTAGGAAGGAAGGAAAGGGGCGGAGGGAAGGTACGAAGGAATGAACAAACTTCCTTCGTTTGGTAGAGAGGAGACAAGGAGAGAGAGGACAATAGGATCGATGAGTCATTCCTCCTTCACAAATTTTCATCCTTCCAATTCGGATGGAAGAGAGGAGGGAAGACAAGTGGGGGCTATTATAAATGCTTTAAATTACAGTACCATCCTTCATAAATTACAATATTATAGATAATGATGGGTATAATAGTAAAAATAATTTAAAACTCTCTCTACCCTTCTCTCCTAACAAACACGGTAAGTTGTCAACTTCTTCTCTTCTCTTCCATCCAACAGAACAAAAAGAGGGAATGGCATAATCTCTTCCCTAGGATGTCTTATTCATCTACTCTTCTCTCCCTTACATCCAATTTTTTCCTTCCTACTGAACGAAGCATTAGAAAATATCTATTTGACTTCTTCGTACTGATTGTATGAGGAAATAGAGGAGGATATTACAAAGATGCTAGCATAGTAGAATTGTCATTTATTGAAGGCATTAGTAGAACACAATTTCCAAGAAAGGATAACATCCACTGATGATTCGTGACATAGGATATGAGAAGAACATTGACCTTATGGGCAAGTTCATTCTGGAGTGGTGAAATGTTAGTTAATTTAAAGCTCCAGTGCATTGCATGATGATCTAGTTGGGTTTAGTATTTTTCTTATTTGGAATTTAAGATTTTGTGATTTGCGTATTTTATGATGTAGGCCTTGTGTGTTGAATAATTATCATAAAACCCTAATGACCTAGTGATTCTCCTATTGATGCATACGTTCTAGCATGGAACATTCGATTCCAGAATGCTAAGTTTTGTGGTTCGGAATCTTCTTAATCCTTTGCTTTCAATTTAAGAGAAGAATAATAGACATAGCAGACCAAGGGATGAATAACACATCGTCATGCCAAGAACTACGAGATCGCTCCTTTCATTCTCAGGTTGCGTAGATCATACCATAGTTAGCTTACACTTGGTTACATGTTTTTACATGTTTCGTTTCTTTGTGACTATGACATGTGCACTATAATTTAATAAAACTAATTTCCCTTACTCATTAGGTGAAAAAGAAAATCACTCTTGAGATTAAAATTATCCCATCTTTTACACACCTTATGAACTTTTGATCTTGATATGATCTATTAGAAATTGATGTATATTAATTGATTTTATCAAAATTTTGTAGACATGTGATTGTGATGTTTGTAATGACACATTTCTATTATCTCCTTCCTTTCTGAGAAAAAGTAGAATCACCCTCTTGTCATATAGAACTACAGGATGACTGTTTTTCCATGAATTGGCATGGCATTCCCCTATTACAGTGTGTTTTCTTCCCATTCCCTATTTTATTTAAAATTATATGCACCTCAATGTTGGTAGTTTCCTGGGCGGCTTTCTAAAATTCCTCAATGGTGGTCTCTTCAAACCTGTTGTGGAACCTCTTTTTCCCTATGATTTTATTGTTATCATCTTATCATTCTTCGTAGGCTCTCTTCAAATTTTACGTACTAACTTTGCTGGTTAAAAACTTTGGAGGCTATATTGGAGATTCTAATTCAAGAATGTAAATAATTGTTCATTGCTTGTCCATGAAAAAATTTGAACATTGTTGAAACATAATTTCCCTTGTTTTATAAAATGGTCAACATTCTTTTTAATATTCCTGGAAATTTGCATTGTCATGTTGGTTATTTTTTACCAGGATGAGTGCATGAGATGAACGGATGATAATCACAGGTTATATCTTCTTTCTTTGGAAGCATCCTTTGTTAACCAGCTGCACCGGTCAATGGGTTTGCTTGCCTGGTGCTCAGAACCGATCCTAGCTCATACATGCAACTGCCTGCCAATATTCGCAATTCTTCTGACCAGGTTAGGGTTTTTGTTAGACTTAATATCTTGGGTATTATTTTCTGCCGTACTTGTTCTACCTGTGCAGTTGATTCCTGTTTGAGATTGTTATATCTGTGCAGTAAATTTTTTTTTAGTTTCTATTGATCTTTCTTTTTCCTTTATAAATTTAAATCACTTTTGCAGTTCATGGTTCTGCGAGATGGCTGTTGGCAAAAGATCAACTTCAAAAAGAGTTTGCCTCTATTGGACACTGAAGCTGATTCTCATGTTATTCTGGATAGTCCACGGATATGTCGTTTTAAATGTGCTAGTAAAGGCCGTACCATAGCATCAGCTGATCTGCAACAACACAGCACTCTTTCTAGTGAGCGAATGGCCCAAAGAGGTAAGAGGGCTTTCCCCCATAGGTTTGTAACAAGTTTGGAGGAGCCTCCCATATGCCACTCTTACCGTCAGCATTCAGTTGGCAGTATTACAGGTCATTATGAACATAATTTTGTGTCTCGGACACCCTGTGTTGCACTACTAGATATTAATACGTTCAGCTTGTCTTTCCATATATCGTCTCTGTTTTGGCACATTTCTATGTATTGTAATTAACATGCACATTTAATTTATTTTTTTCTTTGTCTAGGAGATTAGACGACTGTACTGTAGTTGCTACTGTTTCATTGCAATGCACAAGAACTCGCTGTCTTGTGTAAAATGTATTGCTATCGCAATATGTTGGTCTAGGATATAGTTGAAACATTCTGCAGTTTAGTGCTAATGAGAATTGATATCACTTGAGCTTTGTCTAGGGATAATTACATCTTTTGAGCACAGGTAATCTTACTAGGCGATTGTTTTCCATTGTAAAGTCCACAAAGATTTATTAAAAATTTAAGAGCTGAATTCATTTGGTGGTTAGGATTGTGCTTAAATGTGTTCAGCACAAAATGTTTTGTGATCTAAGATTTTTATTTTTATATATAGATTTTTTGTTTTAGTCAAGATCAGCTGTGCAGTCTAACCGAAAGCCTGTTTAAAAAAACTTTTTTTTAACCTGACTTTCTGTTTCTTCTTCATATTTTTGGATCTTAGTCACAAAAAGGATCCTCGTTTCATTAATGAAATTTTTGACCAAAACATATCATAGAAGGGATTCAAGCTTGATTTAGAATATTTTGTTGTTCTTTTCATATTTCTTTGCATTTATTTCATGCATGTGCTTCCAGTTTGCTTTTATTTCTGTAGAATAAGTTTCAGATTTACTGATTTGGGGTCCCCTTAATAGTCTAAATGTCAAGTTCGCGAAGACTCTCACTTCTACTTGTAATTTATGTTGTTGATGTTTGATTTTTTGGTATGGTCAGATATGTAGTCATGCCTTTAATAATTTAATTCAGCACCTGACAAGTTTGATTTAGAGCAGCATATTCTCTATAGTTTCACACAATTTTGATGTGATGGGTGTGTGTTCCTCCTAAAAAACTCGATGTGGCGTTTGCACAACGTGCATGACTGAGACCCATCAGAGAGAGAGAGAATCATTTATTTATTTATTTTGGGTGAGGGGAGAAGAGAAGTTGAGAGATGACGTGACAGTTTGAATTAGTTGAAATTACCATCAAGTTTTTAATTTCTTTTAATGCAAGTATGTTGCAGGGATATTACCAAAAATATAGGAAGTTTTTTTTTATAATTTATTGCTTCAACCCATAGTATCTGTTTCTTGTATTCTCATAAGAATGTAATTCTCATAAGAATGTATAGTGTATGCTATTGGGTTTCTGCAGAGGTGTCAGATCAGAATTTTGTAAATGGAGACTGAGAAGAGATATCTAGCATTTTATCCTCGGCGAAAAGGTTGAAGATGGCTGCAGCTGATGCTTCGAGCACAGATCAAGTATTGTGCATAGTTGATTTTGTATCGGCCATTTGTTTTAAAGTCATCACTCCTCTGTTCAAAATGGTACAATAGTCTCACTTTTTTCCGTTCTCCTGTGCTCTTTCAGACTCTGCCCTCTGGGAAGTTTCACGGAACAGAAATTTCAACCATCCCTAATGCTTCACCAGAAAGAGAAACAGATACGGAACGAATGACCAGCAGAAAAGCGCCAGAGCTTCATCTTTCCAGAAGCTGATGCAAAAATCATTTCTGAGACCTTTGATTTTCTCACGGTTCTGTAGTCTAAAAGAAACAGCCAGAGATACAAATCCCTTGACAAGAAATTGAGTAAGGTTTTTCTTTAGATATGGTTCTTGATAGTAATGGGTTGGTGGAAATGCTGCCACGAATTTTTTTTAATTACAAATCAGGAGGAAAGAAAGTCTACTATATATGCTATACATGCATACGTATATTAGCTTAGTTCCACAAAAAAAGTAAAAAAGAGATTGATGATAGTTTTTACTTTTTTTTATGTTTTCCCTATTAATAATTTCTTTATATGTTTTGAAATTACTTGTCTTACTGATTTCTGGAGAAGTTTAAGAGGTTTTCCTTTCTACTGATGATGGTCTTTGGATTCTTTTTCTCCTAAAAGGTTCAGGCACTCTTTGTTGTCTAAGTGCCTTGTGACTTGCAGAATATGGAGCTTTATTGGACACAAATGCTGTTTGCACTCAAGTTGCTTTATTTGTGAAGGGAATGCCTCCAAGCTACAACAACCATAAAAGGCTTTTTTTTTTTTTCAATGGTAATCATGATGGTGTCTCTTTAAAGGAAAACATTTTGTAGATATTGTTAAATACAGATTGTGGTTCTTGAAAGGGTTCAAGGAGTCTCAGGATGGGCTTTGATTGGAGGGAGTGGGCCCTTCCTGATACCATTTTTCAGATTATTCTGTCCCCTCTATGTGGCTTATTACTTTTTTCTTTTAGTGAGTGGATGGATGACTCGGAGGGATTCTAGTTGTGGGCCATGTTCCTCTCAAGTTGTGGTAGGCCAAATGGGAGCTCCTGATCATCTCGTTGCTCAAGCGGTGATCTTGCTAACTTTTTTTTATTGAAAAATAAATAATTTAAGAAATAAGTTTTTTAAAATTCACTTTGTATTTAATATATTAAGATAATTTCTAGAGGTAAAAAAATATTAGTTACAATTGAAGTTACCGAAATAATTTGTTAAAATTTATTTCATTATAAATGTTACCGAAATAATTTGTTAAAATTTCTAGGATTATTAATTTTGGTAACAATTGATTTTTTATAAAAGAGGTACTCCGTATTAGTGACAAGATATTGGAATTAGGGAGAAATTTTGTATTTTTGTGAGAGAAAAAAAAAAAAAAAAAAGAGACGCTAATGAAAAATTTAGAAATAAAGGACAATGCTAGAAAAAGGTTCAGTAGTTATAAAATCTGGAAATAATTTTCAAAAGTAAAACGTCTGTCTTATAAGACTTATTTGTCTTTAAAAGTTGGACTAATTAGTAATTTTTTCTATTAATTATTAAACACACGCTATTCTAGTCGGTTTCGGAGGAATTGATTCTGGCCGCAACTACATTGTTATTTCGTAATTATCAGTTGTGATGTCGAGTCTGTTCTATTCTCATCCTTTTCTTTGATTATTATTATTATTGTTATTGTTTTTACTAAAAAATAGTTCAATCCAACTAAACTACTCTTTTTTGTTATTGTTGAGAGAGAAATTCATGCGGTTCGATACGACACCGTTTTATTCTCTTTTACTCTCTTCTTTGCAAGAAAACGGTGTCGTATCGGATCGCGTGGATTTATCCCTCAACAGTTCTGAAATAATTTTTTATTTGGTTCTTGTTATCCTTCAATCCATATTTTTAGAGGCCCTTGACACCGTTGACAATCAAATTTGCTAACCAAATTTTTTTATACAGATTGAAAAAATTGCTTTGTAGGTTCTAATAGACTCAGCTATTTCAAACCTAATATAAAATATGTTTTCCCTTCTACAGTTACATATTTAAAATCACATCCCAAAAATTAATACCAATAAGTCAAATGAGCTGCAAACAAAGTAATAGCAAAGATGCATCACTGTGTATGTATAAAAATATATGCGTGCAGAAGGAGACACTTGATTTACAAATTTGAGTTTGGTTGTGGAGAGTGTGGGTGTGAGCTAGTGAGTTGTGATTTGGATAAAGAAAGTAGGGTTTGAAGAGAGAATAAGTTAGTGTCATAGAGGTTTTGTATGGTGAGTTAGGTGGTGCTAGGGTTGATGGTTTGATCTCTATCTTTGAAGATATGAAGGACTCCTATTGTGAAGGGTTGGACTGTCTATGATGGTGGTGAAGATAGAGTCAGATGCGATGAAAGTTGAACAATAAATAGATGTTGAGTCAATGTAGCAAAGGCTATGTCTATTAGTGTGGTACAAAAACAAAGTTTTACTACACGTCCACATAACCTACAATTGTCTGCATTCGTTCACGATTTTTAAAACATGTGTACATTGTGCATCCATACCAGTATTAACAACCTCTCCTCTCAAGTGGTGTGATGTCACAATTATCCTCTTGGCCCAGCTAATGGCGGACTGTGAGGCGCCATGCCCCCTCTCCAAAATTTTTTAAAATTCCACTGACTCATTTATAATATATATTCTAACTTTATATTCATACTATTAGTCCCCGTGTACGCTCTCCTTACGTGCAGTTAGAATTGGCTTTGACAATATCTGTCACGATTCGTTCATACTGTGCAGATAGTGTCTGCTTTATATACATTTCATGCTCATCAAGATTTTCAAACACACGTCTACATAGTGTGGGTTGGTCGTGACAATCGAACAAGAACCTAATAATTTTTTTTCCTTTTTTCCTATTTGAATGTTAAGAAGCATCTCCACTCGAATCTTCAATTTTCAAGTGGCGCGGATAGTTTTAGCATACAGGTTTCCTCCAATTAAATAGTCAAATGTCTAGTTGATGTTCAATTATTATCCTCAACTTCTCCATTTTGTTTGAAATGCATAATGAATTGATAGAAAGGAAAATGCCATGATTGAAAAATGATTGTTTATTGATCGGTTCATTACCGATGAATGTCATAATAATTGAAATAAATATCATAAGAAGAGAGTCTATCTTTATTTATTTAGTCACTAAAAAGATTTTGCTGGACATTATACTGGAATGTAATCTCTATCACGATCTGTTCATAGATTGTAGATAGTGTCCGCTTTATACACACTCCATGCTCATCAAGATTTTCAAACACACATCTACTATCTCTACCCGAATCTTCAATACCAACACAACACATATAATTTTGGTATACAAGTTTCCTCCAACTGAATAATAAGATGTTTAGTTCTCATTTAACGTAGAATCATATATATCAAATTTGACATACTAGTTTTTGATAAGCTAAATAAATTGTTCCTATTATCTTAATATGTAGTCTCACATATTATTAAAACTTTTAATTTTATTTTTGTTTGTTGTTTAATTAAAAAATAAAATATTAATAAATTTAAGATAAATTTATTTTATATATAGATATATCAAAATTTCATATACCAATTTACCACTCATAACGTAAATGAATTTTTTTGAAGATTCAGGTGGGAGGAAGATGCTCTAATAATTTGTCCTTTGTAATCCCTCAAATTTTGTGATATTTGTTTATTTATAATATATATAAATATATAATTAGATGATACTAGAAATTATTAACACGGCAACAACGAGCGAAGCGAACATAGTCCATGACCATATCTGATTTTCCTCTATCTATGTTGGTCCGTCCGTAGAAAACCCTCCATGGAGGCGTGGACTTTTTGGTAGGACTATAATCTCAGCTCTACATTCACTCCTCAACATCCTCAACCCAAAATAGACGACCCACCCATGAACATCACAACCTTATAATTCCTTATTTTTTCCGTTCATTTTCAATTTTTCTTACCCAAATTTTCTGAGGAAGGAAAAAATTCTGATGGGTTTTTCCCCAAACCAAAGATTCACACGACCAGGTTCGACGCAAGAAGATTTACCCATTCACTCTTCTTCTTCTTCTTCGTCGAATAACAACAATTCCAAGAAGAGATGGTCCAATTTGATGCCCTTATTGGTAGCCCTAGTTGTTATTGCAGAGATCGGCTTTCTGGGTCGGCTCGACATGGCCAAGAACGTTGCTTTGTTCAACTCATGGGCCGAGTCCTTCTATCAGTTCACCTCGTCCTCGCCGGCGATGGTAGTCGATGAGGTCGGGTCGGACGTGTTGACTGTTGACCGGAGCTCCGAACTCGAGTCTTGCGAGGAGTGGTTGGAGAGAGAAGACTCCGTGGTGTATTCCAGGGATTTTCAGAAGGAACCCATCTTAGTTAATGGTTTTGAGGAGGTAAGCTCCGATTTTGGTAATGTATATACCACACATATATATATGTATATATTTGCTGAAACATTACTAATTTCCTTTTCTACTTTTCGTTAATTCTCACAGAAATGTTTGCTGTTAATATATATATATATATATATGTATTGTATGTAAATCTACGTACATTCATATATGTATGTGCGTTTGTATCCACGTGTGATGTATGCATGCACATTTATTTGTTGATATGGATTTTAATTTATAAGTGCCAGATGGTCTCAAATCTGGAAATTGTCACTTTTGTGCTTTAGTTGAATTGTGTTTCCATGCATGAACTGTATATTTGAAATCTTTAGCAGGGTTGTAGAAATTCTCTTTACAAGTGAATCCTTATGGTAATAGACGGACAGGACGACCAAAAATGACTTAAAAGAATTTACCCAAAAAAAAAAAACTTTAAAAAGGTAAATATATTAGGTGAAATGACATATAATAGAAAAGATTAGAGAGAGAAGTCATGTGGCCGGCCCATTTATATGGGATTAAGACAAGGAGAGAGAAGTGTATCCTTATGGTTACTCTTTCATTTCTTTTTTCTCTGGTTGCTAGTATTTTGTTAAAATGATTGAACTGCTTCAAATGACAGTCCTCAGTTGTTTCTTGTCATTTCAAAGTTTGTCCTTTGTCCAGACCCTATAACGTTTGCATTCTTTCTCTTTCTAATCTTGAATAAATTGGAATTATAACCATCTATAGATCGTAGTCTCACGTCTCATGCATATTTTCTGAAATTTCTTTTGCATGCCTTTTATCTAGGAGTGGAAGTCTTGTGCTGTGGGGTGTAAGTTTGGATTTAACCCCAATAAGAAACCTGATGCTGCTTTTGGGGTACCTCAAGAAACTGGGACAGCTAGTGTGCTTCGATCAATGGAATCATCTCATTACTATTCTGAGAACAACATTGCTCATGCACGACGGTGGGTAAGCACGCTCTGAGATGATTCATTGCACGTTCGAATTTCAAACACATTAACTGCCACACTTCTAAAGAAGTTAGGATTCTGATTAACTTGAAATGAACTTTTTTTCAACCAAAAGGGTTGGAGGACTGGTGTCAAATGTCCTGCTGATCACCTGATCTTGGTTTGATGATGTGGGTGCCATATTTCATTGCTAAGAGAGTGCATAAAAGAAATAAAATGTGGTCACTAGTTTTTCTTAAATTTAAATATGTGGGTGCGTTTGAAAATAAGTGTGAGGAGTGCATTTCTCCACTCATGATTTGAATCCCTTGCCCGTTTTTCGAAGCATCTGGAAGTCGATGCAATGCATTGCTTAAGAGCAATGCCATTTCATTTACTTGAATATTCACAGGATTCATCTTCATATTGGTCATGGCAAAAGTTTTATGTTCGCTGTCAAGCTGCCCTCTCTTCCTTTATCCGGGCTTGGGACTGGCTGTTTAAAGATAACACAGGCTGAGTTGATAGTTATAAAACACAATGTAATTAATTCACAGCCACACATAATGTATCTACTGCCTAGTTCCTGGAAAGTTCTGATGGCTGATATTGTGTGTTTGTGTCAAATAGACATTCTCACTGGTATCCACAATCACAGTGTCCATTTTTTATACACTGGTTTGTTTCTAGAAAATGTTCATTCTTTCACTATTGATTGGTTCAGATTGTATGCCTAGTTCCTGGAAAGTTCTGATGGCTGATACTGTGTTTATATCAAATACGACATTCTCACTGGTATCCACAATCACAGTGTCCATTTTTTATACACTGGTTTGTTTCTAGAAAATGTTCATTCTTTCACTATTGATTGGCTTAGATTGAAATGTTCTTGATCCGTGTACCCTTGTTTTTGGGTAAGTGTCTTCTTCTTCTTCTTCAGCACATACTTTCTTCTTCCCTGATGAAAGGTGCTAGAGCCAAACATATAGGAATCCCGAGTTTCAGACTACGAAAATCACCCTTGTCGAGCAGCCGAGCTCTACTCGATTAATGATAGCGATTAAGCTAAGAAAGTTGGTTCACTAGCTGAATAAAGTGTTTGCGGAAGTAATTGGCGGTGATTAATTGAGTATAAAAACAAGCATATATACAAAGAAAAATGAGCATGTCATTTCTGTCTGTAAACAGTGAATTTAGTCTTGCAAAATTATTAAATATGGTTTTGTTGAAAAATGAAACCTTGGCAGATCAATTTCCTACAATAAAACATATGCAATATATAGGTGGAGACATGTGTCCTCAGGCAAACTGTCTAATCCACTTGAAACATAAATTGTAGGAACTTGGATTTTTTTGCGATTTTTTAGCTGTTGTTGTTGTTGTTTTTTTTTTATTTATTTTTAATAAGTAAATTTTTTAGTTGGTTGATCAAAATCTGTTATTTCCTCCTCTTCCTTGCCTCCTCGTTACCATATTCCTCTTATCCTTCTTTTTAATCTTCATATTAACAAGTGAGTTTGTTAGAGGACAACACCATTTGAGAAAGAGTGGAAAGTTTGTCTACTTTTGGTCTTGCTGAGTGTGTCTAAGTTCCTTTACCTTACCAGAATGGAAATGACATGCCCGAGGAGAAATTAGTGGTACATCAAATTTTCTTGAATGAAATTGCTTACCTGTTGGAACTTGGGCATAGCATAATGCACATGTTAATGGAATTTATGCTGGCAATTAATATGATCTTTCGTCATATTTCTATAACAATTGTTCCCATTTGGGGATTATCTCAGAAATAGTGATTTTCTTTTTTAAAGAAAATTCTGCCCGAATATATGTGAAGCTGATAATTCAATTTTCCTCGTGTATCAGGAGAGGATATAGTATTATAATGACAACTAGTCTATCATCAGATGTTCCTGTTGGCTATTTTTCTTGGGCTGAATATGATATTATGGCCCCTTTGCAACCAAAGACTGAGAGTGCTCTGGCAGCTGCTTTCATTTCCAATTGTGGTGCTCGCAACTTTCGGTTGCAAGCTCTTGAAGAACTTGAAAAGGCAAACATTAAGATAGATTCTTACGGTGGTTGTCATCGAAACCGTGATGGAAAAGGTGTGCATGTCAAATATATATCAATAATGTTAAAGGATTTCTTTAGTTATGGAATTGCAAAATTTTATAAAATTCCTGTTTTTAGGTTAATATGTACATTCTCTAGGCAGTAGCTGTTTTTGGTAGTCTGAAAGCTTGTATTTGTTCAATTTGTTTTGCTGCAAATTGGTCTTCTTTATATAAGTTAATTATTTCATATATTGGAGTTACTCCTAGTATTGTAGTTCCAAATGTCCACATGTTTGCTCTAAAAAGTAGACTCTTCACTTTTACCCTGTAGAATACTATTTTATTTGCGTCCATATTTGGCTTTTCATTTTATGGGGATTATTGATGATTTTCTTGGTTTGCCTGTTTACAGCCCAAGTAACGAAGGGGAAGTGTTCAGCAAAGAATTCACTAGGTTTGGAAGAGAGAAAAACCGGATTGTTATTAACAAGAAGACTCTCTAAAAGCCTGAGCAGTACAACTATTTATAGTGAAAAAAAAAACCCTAAAAGGTTAACTACTAGCAAAAGACCTCTAAAAATCACAAAAATTACTAATAAGCCCCAATTCATGAAATTAGATGGCCTACCAAAAAATCAAAACAAGCTGAATCCTACTCGGTCCTAAACAAAAATCATGTGAAATTAGGAAACTCCCAGAAATGACTAAAATCAAGTGTAACCATACCGAAATAGCTAATGTATCGTAAAATTCTTTGTATGAGTCCTTGGATGCTTTAACTCCTTTATGTTCACCATAGTTTGAGTTTAGATGACATGGTGTCATGGATATGGGTGGAAAGGGCGTGTTGTTGAGAAGAGCAAAATAGGGTTTGAAGCAACTCAGGGGGTTTTCATGGTGCTTTGAAAATCAAGGTAGGATTTTAGGCTCTCTTGGGTTAGGCTGACCTTTGGTAGTCTTGTTTGTGGTGTTAACCAAGTGTATTTTTCTGGGTCCATGTGGTAGGTTACTAGGTTGTGGTTTGGACCATCGTTGTTGGTGCCTTAGGGTATGTTTGGGCCTTACACTTAGCATTTAGCTGAAATTTTCCTTTTTGTTAATTAGTTGGCCCATCATTTTGTTTTTATGGACAAGAAGTAAAATTTTAGACAACTAGGCATATGGTAGTCACATTTTGCAAATAATAGGTTATAAATTAACAAAAAAGAAAAAAAAAAATTTATAAAATTAACACAACAAAATTTGTGTTCAAAGATCTCAATATATATAATATATATTTGCAACCACCATGGATCAGCAAACACCCTATTTAATATAGATTTTGTGATCTTTGATTTTTCCATTGGTGTTTAGATCATCCCCACCACCCCCCCCCCCCCCCCCCCCCCCCCCCAATAATCTTTTGTATGTTGATTACTTCTTTAAATTTGGTAATTAGACAAAAATTTTTGCATTTGATAGTTCATGTGTATAATCATCACTTCCTAGCAAAACTTGTGTGCAATAATTTATTCTATGACTATTTTGCAGTGGACAAAGTACAAGCTCTGAAGCGCTACAAATTCAGCTTGGCTTTTGAGAATTCTAATGAGGAGGATTATGTCACTGAAAAATTCTTTCAGTCTCTTGTTGCTGGTATGAAGTTAGCATTATGTTTTCTCCATGTTGTATTCTTGATATAATTCTAGAAACTGATTGGCCCTAGCAATATTTCCATATTTATTTGTTTTATCTTATTTGGATAGTATATATATTGTTTAAATAAGTTTGTAACTAAGAAATATGGGGTGCTTCTAAGAAGAGCAATGTTTGTGTTGGGCATGTGGACATGCATTGGAGGCTGACACTTCTAGGACACTTTTGGACACATGTCAACACATCTTGGATGCATCCATAATTTTAAAATAAATTTTCTAATTTCAATATGTGGCCATTTGTACGTGATTTCTTTTAGTATGAAAAAGAAATAGTATAAATGCAAAGAATAATCAAAATTAAAGGTTTATAAAAAAAATTATGAAAAAAATTAGACCATATTTTTTAGTTTTTACTAGAAAAGAATAGAATATAGGAAGTTCTATCAGAGAGGTGGACACGGATGGAGTAAGGAATTATCATGATTATGTGTTTTCCATCTTATTTTTCCTTGTTGCCATTGCATATTTGTTGTGTGAGATCTTGGGGGGATTAATTCCTAACACGATACAGATCTGTATTCATACACGTATAATGAACAAATTTATTGTGTCCTCGCCGAATCGTTTTCTATACCATATGTGTCATCATTTATTAACGTGATTTTATGTTACAGTCGTAAAAATGTCATATTAACTTACCGTAAAGTAACTTTTTTATATATACCAACTCTCTTTTTATAAGTATATTCCTTTGCATCGTGTCCATGTGCTACTTTGCTAGGATTTCTCATGTTGGCGTGTCTGTATCATGCCATGTCTATGTCCTATGTCAGTATCCATGCTCTATAGTTTTTTAATCAGATTTTTTGTTGTATCTGGAGGTTGCTGCTAACTTTATTTTGGTTTAGAATTGGGATGCATGAACAATTTATTTCTAGGTGATAAAAATCAGAGGTTCCATTTTTTTATTTTTTATTTTTCTCTGAAATTATGAATTTGAAACCTGTCTGGGAAAATCAGATTTTTTGTTGTATCTGGAGGTTGGCTGCTAACTTTATTTTGTTTCGAATTATGATGCATTTTACTTGTCAAAAAAAAAAAAAAAAAAAAAAAGAATTGTTATGCATTTACAAATTTACTTTTTGGATGATAAAAATCAGAAGTTTAAAATTTTAATTTATTCAACTGAAAGGAAAATATCTTGAAAAAAGTTGGATCCGTGGTGCTGGAAAATATTGCTAATCTTTGGGAATAATTCTGTAAACGTTTAAGTTTGAATTTGGTTTTTGAAATAGCAATCCTTGCTAGAAAGAAAGGAAAAAGAAAAACATTAGCTTTGATTCTGGAAGTAATTGGACTAATTCGTGAGTTCATCAAATAATCTAAAATATTTTTTTAACATGCTATGAACTATGATTTGTGATATGTTGAATTATGCTGCAATTGCTTTCAGGTGCTTAATTGAGATTTGAGGGTGGGGGGGGAACATTTATAGGATGCTTTAGAAATAAGTCTTACATATGTGTAATCGTGCTGATAGAGATAAATTTATCATTTATCAAAATATGTAGGAACTGTTCCTGTGGTGGTTGGTGCTCCAAATATCCAAGATTTTTCCCCTTCTCCAGGTGCGGTTTTACATATTAAGGAACTGAAGGATGTTGATTCTGTTGCCAAGACCATGAAATACCTTGCTGAAAATGCTGATGCATTCAATCAGTCGTTACGGTGCGTTTGTATGTAATGACAATTTTAGAATGTGGATAGAATACTAAATCCATTATTTTATTATTAATGATGTCTTCCCTTCGGGGATATGTTTTGGAGTTTGCTGCTGGTTCTTTCAACTTAGGGGTTTACGTTACAAATGGGTGTTCATTTTTCAGGTGGAAGTTTGACGGTCCATCTGATTCTTTCAAGGCTCTTGTAGATATGGCAGCAGTTCACTCATCGTGCCGTCTGTGCATTTACCTGGCAACAATGGTCCATGAGAAAGAAGAAAAGAGCCCAGGTTTCCCTAAACGACCCTGCAAATGTAGCAGAAGGTCAGACACTATCTATCATGTATATGTAAGAGAGAGAGGAAGGTTTGAGATGGTGTCCATTTTCTTGAGGTAAATCTCATATGATCCTTGAAATTATACATACATAAATGTGTGTGTTTATACATCTTATGTTTGTACATGGAACGTTAGCTTTGTACATGTACCTTCCTTCCCTGAATAAGTGTCTCCATTACAACTTTTTGAGAAATACTTTTTCCCCCTTGAAAATTGCAAAGCTAACAGAACAAAATATGAACATTTACATCACCCCATTTGAATTTTTTTTCAAAATCCAAGGACAATTTGGAAAAGTTTGAATTTGAAACATTCCAAGAAGGAAAGTGGACACTTGTATTAGGACATCCTGAAAGAAAAAGGTGGACACTTATTTTGGAATGGAATGAGTACATATTTGTGCATATGTGGATTGATGAGTATATGCAATAAGAATTTACTCTCCTCCAATGTCCGTGCCTATGATATAACTTTTTTATATTTTTTATTTTTGAGACTGATTGAACACATGTTTTAATAAAGTCATTTGATTTCCCCTTCATACTTCTTTTTTAACCGAGTTAAAATATAGTCACACGTGACGTCCAGGCTTTTGCTTGTAAGTCTCTGAAAAGCATAAGCCACATGCTAAGAATTTTTTTTTTTTTGTTTAAATTAAGGGCACATCCAATATGCGTTTGACATGTGCCCAGGAGTTTACCAGGAGTGGCAACAATCATGATACCAAAACTGATTTGACTTCTCCTTAGAAGTGTCCTAGAAGTATCCTTGCTTGGGAAAAAGGAAAAAAGAGAAGAGAAGGTGCACATTATAATTGAGAAATTTCCTGCAGACTCGATAAGAACTCATTTTTGATGTTCTCATGTGGTATACAATGCTACTAGGAAATGGATATATAAATTTAAGCCTTTTATCTTTCAGTGCATCTGTTAAATGCGTATTTGTGTGGTCTAAGTTAGATAGACATTACTTTTTTTTTTTTTTTTTGTTGTTGTAATCATGTTGAACACTTTGTATCCTTGTAAAACTTATACACTCGTGACATGGTAGTTAAAAGATGTTAACAGTTGTTACCTCAAGTATATGCTGGCATACTTAAATTGTGAAATTAAAGTCAAAAGCCTAATTCACATCCATGATTGCATTGGTGATCAGAATCTACTACTGGTGCAAATGATTAGATCTGGTTGGGGTCTTGTAGGCTCAAATTTTATGCATTTTCAAATGTTAGCAGAATCCAATATATTTGGTTACCTGGCAAGAAAAATTGTACTTGATTTATTCAATTTTTTTATCCAGCTAAACTTGGATCCTAAAACTTAGTCCTTTATTGCAAGTTTATGTTTGTTTTGAAATGTTTATAGTCACATCTAGTGGTTGGATTCCTTGATAGAATGAAACCATTCTGCTTGGTCATTGTAGGCTCTGAAATGAGTCATATTATTCTCAATAGCACTCAATTCTCTTCCACCTTTGTGGGTTTGGGTGCTAGCCGTGATAGTTAACTGAGTGTAAATTCAAAGAGGCAAGAACTAGCAACCCAGGTAGGACAATGAAAGGGACATAACAGCAGGTGTTCTCAGTACTAGAGGATTTGAGGAAATTGGATGGGGTAGACACATTTTTTTTTTTCTTCCTGCTTGTCGGTAGACACATATTTAATCAAAAGATCCACATATTCTTCTTCCTTCTCTTTTATTTTTTTTTTCCTGCTTACCTTTTCTAATTGCAAAAGTCGAGCATTCTAAAAGGATTGGTTTGTTGTTTTAGAGGTGTCAAGAATTCTGATATCTTACTTTCCTGGGCAGATCATCAAATTTCACTCTGGAGGCCTTGGAATCTGCTGTGCTCCTGAAGTTCAAGTCCCTGAAACATGTTCCCATCTGGAAACAGGAAAGACCGGAAAGCATAAGAGGAGGGGATGAGCTCAAAGTTTACAGAATATATCCTGTTGGTATGACACAGAGGCAGGGTTTATTTACTTTCAGATTCAGTGGGGATGCTGAATTTAGGAGTCATGTGGAAAACAACCCGTGTGCAAAATTCGAGGTCATTTTTGTCTAGACTGAGGCCCTCATTTCCTTGGCTCGAAGCAATTGCCAATTTCATAATTTGCTGCTGAAATCTTTTTCGCAGATGGGTCTGTCGGTTTTTGCCTTCTCACTTCAACTTCCCATATGCATTATTTTCATACGATTCAAAATATGCAAAATTACTGTAGTGAAGAAAAACTTAAAAGTACTAGAGATTTTGATCTTGTACATGCATAAAACTTTTTCCTGTTTAGATGCATCAGTAATTTTTTAGATCAAGTTTATACAGGGTTTTGTTTTTCACTTGGATCATGCTCACAGATAGGGCTTGAAATGGAAGAGGTTCAACCCGAGATCCGATTTTATTTGAAGTCCATTTAAACGAATTTGATTCTTAATTTTGAATCCAAATTCAAATTGGGTCAGATATGGATCTTGATGTAGAGATCCATCATCCTTCACCGATTTGGATTGCGTATGGATTTGGCTAACATTGGAATTGATCTGATTTCTTTCGAGATTCAACCTAAGTCGGTCAAGTATATTTTAGTAATTTGGATATTGTTTAAAATTTTAAAATATATGGATGGATATGAATCATGTCTATGGGATCCGTTTTGAATCTGGATTAGAATATGAATCCTAAATACTAAAATGTGGATCTGGATATGGATTCACATGAATCCGCTCTAGATCTGATTGATTTGGGGACCTAAATGAAGCAGATCTTGTAACTGATCATGTTCTTCTATGTTGATGTAACCTAATATTGCATTTCTTTGATATGTTAGTGTGCCACTTTACTAGTGGAAAAGATAGAATACCAGAAGTACAAATTACTGTTTATTTTTAATATATATATTTTTATATAATTTTAAAAAAATCCAACTATTATATATCTATATCTATAATATTATTAAATGTGCAAAGTGTTTCAGTATTTATTTATTAATTGATATAAATTCTATAAAATTCGTAATTACTTAATAAATTAAAATTAATTCAAATTAACAAAATATAAAAAGAGTTTAATTCAAATTACAAATTTCAGAATGTTTTTAAGTAAAAATGATTACATAAAAGCCTCTTATAAAACTATAGAGTTAAAGAAATAATAATCACACCTTCTCAATCTTTTGGTTAAGATCAAGTGTAATACTAAATTTTTTTGGGTCGGCCTTTTGGCTAACCTTTCTTGGTCTTTTGGTTAAGATCAAGTATAGTACTATTTTTAAAATTAATTCAAATTAACAAAATATAAAAAGAGTTTAATTGAAATCACAAAGTCCCACATTGGTTTTAAGTAAAAAGGATTACATGAAAAATGTGCAAAGTGTTTCAGTATTTCAGTATTTATTTATTAATCGATATAAATTCTATAAAATTAAAATTAATTCAAATTAACAAAATATAAAAAGAGTTTAATTCAAATTACAAAGTCCCACATTGGTTTTAAGTAAAAAGGATTATATGAAAGCCTTTTATAAAATTATAGAGCTAAAGAAACAATAATCACACATTCTTAGCCTTTTGGCTAAGATCAAGTGTAGTACTAAATTTTTTTGGATCGGCCTTTTGACTAACCTTTCTTGGTCTTTTGGCTAAGATCAAGTGTAGTACTACTTTTAAAATTAATTCAAATTAACAAAATATAAAAAGAGTTTAATTCAAATTACAAAGCCCCACATTGGTTTTAAGTAAAAAGGATTACCTTAAAGCCTCTTATAAAACTATAGACTTAAAGAAATAATAATCACATCTTCTCAGCCTTTTGGCTAAGATCAAATGCAGTATTAAATTTTTTGGGTCGGCCTTTTGGCTAACCTTTCTTCGTTTTTTAGCTAAGATCAAGTGTAGTACTACTTTATCGGCCTTTTAGCTAAGATCAAGTGTAGTACTAAATTTTTTTGGGTCGGCCTTTTGGCTAAGATCAAGTGTGGTACTACTTTCTCAGCCTTTGTGCAAAGAGGATTATATGAAAGCTTCTTATAAAATTATAGAGTTAAAGAAATAATAGTCACACCTTCTCGGCTTTTTGACTAAGATCAAGTGTAGTACTAAATTTTTTTAGGTCGGCCTTTTGGCCAACTTTTTTTGGTCTTTTGGCTAAGATTAAGTGTAGTACTACTTTTAAAATTAATTCAAATTAACAAAATATAAAAAGAGTTTAATTCAAATTACAAAGTCCCACAATGGTTTCAAATAAAAAGGATTACATGAAAGCCTCTTATAAAATATAGAGCTAAAGAAATAATAATCACCATTTCTCGGCCTTTTGACTAAGATCAAGTGTAGTACTAAATTTTTTTGGGTCGGACTTTTGGCTAACATTTCTTGATCTTTTGGCTAAGATTAAATATAGTACTACTTTCTCGGCCTTTGTGCAAATAAGGTTACATGAAAGCCTCTTATAAAACTATTGAGTTAAAGAAATAATAATCACACCTTCTCGGCCTTTTGGCTAAGATCAAATGTAGTACTAAATTTTTTTGGGTCGGCCTTTTGGCTAACTTGGTCTTTTGACTAAGATCAAGTGTACTACTACTTTTAAAATTAATTCAAATTAACAAAATATAAAAAGAGTTTAATTCAAATTACAAAGTCCCACATTAGTTTTAAGTAAAAAAGATTATATGAAAGCCTCTTAGAAAACTATAGAGCAAAAGAAATAATAATCACACATTTTCGGCCTTTTGGCTAAGATCAAGTATAATACTAAATTTTTTTGGGTCGGCCTTTTGGCAAACCTTTCTTGGTCTTTTGGCTAAGATCAAATATAGTACTACTTTCTCGGCCTTTGTGCAAATAAGGTTACATGAAAGCCTCTTATAAAACTATTGAGTTAAAGAAATAATAATCACACCTTCTCGGCCTTTTGGCTAAGATCAAGTGTAATATTAAATTTTTTTGGGTCGGCCTTTTGGCTAACCTTTCTTGGTCTTTTGGCTAAGATCAAGTGTACTACTGCTTTTAAAATTAATTCAAATTAACAAAATATAAAAAGAGTTTAATTCAAATTACAAAGTCCCACATTAGTTTTAAGTAAAAAAGATTATATGAAAGCCTCTTAGAAAACTATATAGCAAAAGAAATAATAATCACACCTTCTCAGCCTTTTGGCTAAGATCAAGTGTAATACTAAATTTTTTTGGGTCGGCCTTTTGGCAAACCTTTCTTGGTCTTTTGGCTAAGATCAAGTGTAGTACTACTTTCTCGGATATAAATTCTATAAAACTCAAAATTACCTAATAAAATTAAAATTAATTAAAATTAACAAAATATAAAAGAGTTCAATTCAGATTACAAAGTCCCACATTGGTTTTAAGTAAAAAGAATTACATGAAAGTCTCTTATAAAACTATTAAGCTAAAGAAATAATAATCACACTTTTTCGGCCTTTTGGCTAAGATCAAGTGTAGTACTAAATTTTACAGTATACTACTACTCACACAAAATATAATAAATTCAAATTATACTATACTACTCACACAAAATATAATAATTTTAAATAACAAATTATATTATACTACTCTCATTAATTATTATATCCCACGTTTGCAGTAGGAATGGATTCAAAACCTAAACCAAATCCAAATGGACCAAGAAATTCTTTCCATACTTGAGAACAAACATATTTAATTAAGTACCATATTTGATCTGAACATTTCAGAATAGCTTTAGAGTTACTGTTGAAAATTCAATCTATAATCAATTGTGCTTGACCAAATGGTCCATATATTAAATTATTTGTCAATTTTCATATTTTTTATTTTATAAAATCCTTGATGTAAATGACTCGTGAGTTTATTGCTATAAGCCACACTAAAAATGATATCTTGGAAAGCAAAATTAATACATCAAACGACAAAGACCAACCAATATGTAATAACCAACCAAGCAGGAAAAGCAAAATACAAAACAACCTCTCCTAATTTGAGAACCCCCAAAGCTCTGAAACTTACCACATGCTTCCTCGGTAATAATGTCATGCCCCAAAAATTCTAATACAAGAACCCTTGTCTTATACTAAAATCTGGTACGTGACTCACATCATACATCCACAATAATCCATAGTTAAATTAGTAAGAATACATTTAATTTAAAAATCCAACAGAAATCTATTACATCCCCAACAAAATAGAATTTCATCAACTAAGTGAATCTTATTACAAAGTGTTTGCTGGGAAATAATAATAAAACCAAAATGTGGAAAATCCAGAAAAATCTCCATCTCCCATTAAGCCTCTTTTGCAAGCTAAAACCATGTGCACCTGAAAGTAATAAAGGAGTGAGCTCACAAACTCAGCAAGAAATTGGTAAACACTATCATGATTCAGCAAGTCAATCCTTACTTATAATCCGTATATATATACATATATAAGTGACCACGAAATATCTACTAATTGTCGTCATTCTATAACAGTAACTCAACCTGTAAACTTGTAGCCCATCTAGAATTTAAATTACTAAAATTCAACTTACCTCACATGAGCCCCTGGCTCCCCTCAATCAGTTGGCATTCTAATGCCATTACCTCACATGAGCCCCTGGCTCCACTCCGAATAAATGGTGTGAATTGCATAGTCCCTGACTACCAAATACACACATGTGGCTGGGTTGTACGTCTACTCACCCAGATGGCCCCTGACCACGTCCACATACTAAGACACCTTTAGCCCAATGGCCATAACAAAAGAGTAATTCACTCCCGTAGACAGTCCCTGACTGCACTCAACAAACTCATCATTATATAAGTCCTGCTCCAACTTGTTTAATCACATCAATTAAACACTGAATATATTTAAATAATTCCTACTCATAATATTATGAGTTAATCAAACACCTTAATTAATAATTAATTAATTAATTAATACCAACATACTAGTACCAACTCATAGTCCTAATTACAATAAATTGCAAACTTATACTCTAAATTTCAACCTCAATATCATATATTCTAACCCAACTAATTTGCATGGAGTTCTATTCATAATTAATGTCCGTCAAAACACTACTTCCCCAACTCCTTCACTCCAATTTCTCAGTCATGGATCACAAAGTCCTAAACTTACTGATGTAACTACATATGATTACATAGCTTCACTTGCTCCCACAATCTAGTTGTAATATCTATTGGATATGCTAACTTAATCTCACACATGCCTTGGTACATATATATATATATATATACACACACACACACATATATAGGCAATTGTCCACCTATATAATTATATAGTAAATAATTCCATCATAACCTATATGCACATACCCACGTCAAAATCCACAGTTCACTCAACTAA